AGTGAAGCTTTTCTAGGAAGTCGCAGTTTCTTTTGCGACAGTTATCCCATACAGTTGAAGAACAGTAATCAAACAGAGGCAATTAAGATCATAGTCATAGTATTATAAATGTCTCCCGGTCGAGGCAGCATGCTTCGAGCCTTTCGTAGCATGCCATGCAACCTAGATGAAATTTTGTTGGTAAATAAAGTCGATATGATTATTCCAGAACAGACATGAATCAGTCAAGTACAACAGTAACAACACCAAGATATTTGGCTAGAGTGGTGTCTCTCGCCATGATTTTAAAGCTACTAATTTTAGCACGTCTCTGATGTGTACCTATACTAATATTATCTTGGTCTTAGAATAATTCAGTAGGAATAATAATTTATTATTCAGACAATCTGTTGTTATGTGATTTAGATCTTCGGACAAAATCGATTCAATCATTGTAATGGAGTTACTACTAATATAGATTAAAGTGTCATCAGCATACAGCTGGATAGCCTGGATGTCACAGTTCTTCACTACAGATGCTAGTTCATTTATATATACTATAAATAGTAAGGGGGCCAAGTATTTATCCTTGAGGAACTCCAAATGAAATAAATTGAGGGTCGGAAACTACGCCATTTATAATGACACTAATTAGCCTCCTCCACAGGCAACTTTTTGGCAAAAATTGGCAAAAGTATTACTGAATAACAGCGAATTTAAAGTTAGGGATTGTCGGGGATCACTAGGGATAAAGGGGGAACCTATAATATTCACATTTTTGCCAATATTTTTATTCATAATACTTTTGCCAATTTTTGCCAAAGAGTTGCCTGCGGAGGAGGCGAAATGACACTTTGTCGTTAAATTCGTTAAACCAAAGAACTTTAGAAATAAAGTCAACACATAGCTGTTGCGGTACCAATAGGCTATAGAACAGGAAGGTATAACCCGGCAGGGGTCGGTTGTGCGCAAGCCAGATCCACCAGATAGTGATTTTTGCAAGCCCTCGATCTTCAATTGGCACTGAATGGTTTGATGCAGATTGAGGTTTAGTATTTCTTAGTAAAGTTTTTATACATCTTTGAATTTTTTTACTTCTTTATGACTTTTTAGGCATTTTACAAAGGTTGAAAAATCACTCTCCGTACAACCGGTCCCTGGGAGGTAAAAGTAGCAATACACATATTCCTTGTTTAGAAAGAAAGCTTTGCAAAATCAAAAATAGGACTTTGTCGCATTTTATTAATGTTGATTTTGTTTGTTTTTATTGGGAACAAATCTATTGGATCAGCCATATAAAAACAGCAGAATTTTTATCTCGTGATGTGTCCCTGGCTTTTAGCCCAGCCTTTTCAAATAGTTCTTTATGAAAAGTTTAAATGAGAGAAGAATATGGCCCATAATCTGAATGGATTAAACTATTCTTCGCAATCAGCTGTGCCAAAAATTTCAACACTGAAATTACATAGGCCTACTTTGTTACAAAATACGGTAAATACCCTCAAAATATTTGGACTACAAACTTTCGCATTAAACCGTTCTGTAAAAGTCAGAAGGGGCAAATGAAACTTAGCAATACAAACAATCAGAAGTGCGTGAGATCAATAACAAATACCAAGCATAATTTGGTGGCTATTTTAATTAATAGGTCGTGTAAATCCGTCGTGTAATAAGCATGTAATCATTTTATCTTTTCCGATCCATAACGTCGGCGGAACCAACACACGCGGCTAATATTATATAATAGCAAGCTAAATCCAGACTATTTTTAACATCCTCAACTAGATGTTATCATAAGCGTCTTTGCAGTGTGCTTAATTAACTTCGTTCAGTAACTAGACAGGCACTGCATGTCTGCGACACAGCTGTGCAACTGTTCGAAGTGTGTTTAAACTATTAAAGACATTAAAGCTGTAAGCTGATCAGTTTTCCAGACTCTCATGAAAGCCACCAAAGGCAAGAAATAATCTCCTAACTAATTCCAGTAAATCTGTCAATATAAATGAAGAGTACAGTATGTGGCCTTATACAATAGGACATCTTGAATACTTGAATTGTAGCACCTAAATCTTCTCTTAGCTTAGCTTATGACTAATCCTTTCGTGTTTTCTTGTACTTGAACTCTTGTAATTTGTATCAGGGAGGTCAGTTTTTCAAAATTAAATGTTGTGGTAGTCTGTAGATCCAGTTGTTCAGATGCAAGCTAGGGAACCTTTTATAAGGGGCTGTTTATATGAGAAGTGGGACGGGACGTTTGCCGGGACGGGACGCGGATTTATAGACCACTGATTCAGTTCAGTAAAGGGTTGTTGTTCAGGTCATTTTATATTTTCAGGATAAGTACCAACTTACCAAAACCATTATAATTTATAATGGTTTTGGTAAGTTGGTAATTATAATGGTTTTGGTAAGTTGGTACTTATCCTGAAGATATAAAATTTATAATGACATGGTTATATAGGGTGCGTTCCTTTAGTGCAATCCGGATTTGGATTTTCAAATCCGATTATCGATTGTCAGTTTCATTTAACAAAATCTTAAAATAGATTCGAATCTGATGAATCCACCTCAACATATGGATTTTTCGGATTCAATCTGAATCTTGATTAGGATTCAACGTTTCTTTTGAGCTTCTGGCCTTCTAGAATGGAGAAAACTAATTGTAAAAATGGCGGGAAAACGGCAGGCGAATTCCGATTCTCACAATTCGTTCCATTTGTTTAACGAATCCAAAAAATCCGAATCCTAAAAATCCAAATCTAGATTTACAAAAGAAAAGCTCCTTATAATTATAATTATATAGGCTGTTCGCTGCGTCCCGATATCGTTCACTTTCATTTCCCGCTCCGAAGTTCCCGCTCCGCAGACCTGCTGAGTACGCAATCTTCTCTTGGATTACGTCTCAGAAACTGTGTTGGAAATGTAAATGCTGCCCTATTCGGCCACAACTAGATTACCATTTTACATCTTTGTATATATAAAACATTTTGATCGCATGTAAGGAATTATTTCTCATCCCAGAGACAGAGGCCAAAAACATAACATTAACGTCCTTGTGATTTTATAGCGGAGATACAGCCAGAACTGGGGATTTTACAAAGCGATATCGGTACATTCCCAAAGTTGTAGACAGGGTACTATGTTGTTTACGTCCAACGCGCTTAAAATTACATAACTCAAAATGATCCAAGCAAAACGGTCTTTTGTTCAATGTAGAGACTGGTTCATAGGAATTAGTCATTTTGAGTGATGCAATCGTGTGTCTTCATCCATCAGTGTCGTTAAACAATGAAAGTATTTGTCGTGAAATTAGTGAAGATAAAATGCAGTTTGTGAGAAAACTGCGGGTCTATACGGATCGGTGCGGGAACTTTTCGGATTTGAACTCAGACTAACTCAGCGTGTTCAAAAGTGTTATAGTTCCAGTAAAATATTTCAGTTCCAAGACATGGGAAATGAAAATCGTTTTCTAGGCACTTTTCGAGGTCACAGCAAATGGCCTATAAGAAATTATACGCAATTCGCCGGTATAGAGGACACTTTTATTTAAGTTTGCAAATCTGGAGTAGGAATATGTGGGGTGTCATAGGAAAGGATTTTATCTGAATTGGAACTTCAATGTTAAAAATTTACCTGTTACCCTCAATGTATTTATTAAGCAAAAATAATACCTCTATATAAGTTCCTAGAAAAGTGGGAGAATGAGCGAATTCGCTGAAGAATTACCTACAAACTTATAGTGTTGCATGTTTTTATACTTATCGCTTTACCCAATTAACGCGTAACCAATTTTGACCAGTCATTATAAAGCAATTACTTTAAGTAGGTTAATCTAACTCCATCCTCGGAACGAATCCAGACCATTCCGAATATCAACTCCTCACTGTGTTGAAGATTCGTTTCTCTCTTCGTTACATCGGTGGGAGTTAAAGGACTTAATAACTATATAATGAACAGTACATGGTTTGCAATATATGGCTGTACGATATTTTTATATATATATATATTATCAGTCCACTAGTCTAGACTACTGTCTGTTCAGAACTTCAGACCATAGGCATAGCTATATATCAATCATGTTTCGCTCGCTACTCTGGTTTAAAAAAATAATTGCAAAGCCCAGTCGAATTGTAATCAAGACCCTATGGGTCTATTATAATTCGACTGGGCTTTGTAATTATTTATTTAAACCAGAGTATAGCGAGCGAAACATGATTGATATACCTGGTTGCAGTGAACGAACAAACTTTAATAGGTATATATATATATCATAAGAAACAGTGTGCAAATATGAAAGTTTGCAGGCAAATAACTAATTCAGACTTAATTTGCAAGTGATCACAACACATATATAGGGCGCTTTCCATGAATGAACACGGCCAAACTGGTCAGAACGGTCAAATTGTGAATGGAATACAAAACGTGTGGGCTTCGGACCTATCCCGCGCTGACCGAAAAAATTTCAGTGATAAAATTAGAATGAGGTCCATTTTCGCTAGATATTTGGGAAACATAGACCAGATTTTTCCATTGGCATTGATGCAGAGACTCAAACTCGGGTCTGACCGCGGTCAGGCCATTAAATGAAAGCGCCCATAATGCATGTGTGTGACGTAATTGTTTGACGTTTACCATATCTGGTGGCAAATGTTTATGGCTAACTGACCCCAGGAGCATGAGCAAAACAAAGTGCACCACAACTCACAAGCGGGTAAACATACTATTTTTGAATAAATACCAAGTCCAAAGTTTAATTCCGAACAAAAATATGCATAATTTTGAACAAACCATATCAATGTCCTGAAAGACTTAGTCCCTTTCCGCGGGCATTCTGCTACTGATCAACAAAACGTGAATCGAAATTATACAGGCTGTGATTATATGTGCCATAAATTATCGATCAATTTCAATAAATTTATTTTAAAAATATATAAATTCGCATGTTATATATATGTTAAAAGAAGTTCTACACAGTATAATAACGCTAATGCGATATAAAATTATATATAAAATTAAATGAGGCTGATTATAAATCTCCGTCATAACTGGAAAGAAACTATGTTTAAATCTATCTGTTCTGCATTTGTATACTAAGTTAAGTTATTGCCACTATACGCACCAGTCGTCCGTGTGATTCATATACCTCGTGGCTGCATGGGTTCTAGAATTGTTAAAAAGTTTTAAAACATAAACGTTGACGGTTGTCTTCCGGCAAGTCTTCGGCGGGGCATCCATCGCCTCTGCATCATGTATACGTTCAATCTTCTCAACAAGGTAAGAAGGAAGGTGCGTGTAGGCCACAGCGCAGCCGAAATCCAACTGACTGGAGCGAATAAGAGAGGTATGATACTTGATCTGGTCTTCCTCCTGCAGGTTCTCCATTAGGCTAATCCAGAGTGCATGCAGATGATATGCAGGCGTCTTATAGCTTTCTTAGTAATAATATCAACATGTTCACCCCATTTCAAGTCATCTTGGATTTGAAGACTTTATTGCTGCATGCTGACCGTTTCAAGCGGCGTTCCATCAATGGTAGCGCGGTAAGCTGTGATAAATCAGATTGGAAATTATACTTGCACATTTTGAAGGCATCATCTTTTTCTACAGGTGCCACTGCGTGTTGTGGAATGACACGCCACTCCACAATGACATCCAGGCACGACTATGTTTGATATACCGTTTTTTATAACTACTGATTTGTGTAATTCAGTGTTCTTTTTTAGCCATGCACTACGAGGCGACACTATAATTCTCTACTAATTTCGATTACAGTAGGCATACACGTCTGCCTATACCATCAGGTAATACACATGTGTATGGTTACTTTAAGCAAAATTATTTTGGGATATAGCGCAAATGCACTTTCCTGACATGTAATTTAAAAGGAACACTGTTAATTTCCAGTTTCAGGATCCACGTGTTAATTTAACTCCAAATGGCGTTATTTTCAACCAAATTTTACCCATAATTGGAGTTAAATTTGATCGTACATAACCGGGTGTCCCAAAAAAAAGTACTCCGGTTTGATTTATAATAACTTCTGAACAAGTACAGCTATTAAACAGAAATAACTTGCATTAAATAGAGGACGGACTAACTTAGATTTTGATATGTTACAGTTGTATTTTACTTAAACATTCATGGAGATATTAATGTTCAAAATCGGGAGCATATTTTGGGATGTGTCTAAAATCAGCGAAAATCGGCATATCAAATATCAACTCCAGCGTTTGTTCGCTTAATGACATATCAGGCTAACTTGTATTTCAGTAAATTGTCGTTAGGGTTTGTAAGGGATATGGCGCGGATTTAGACATTTTAACATGCATGTAAGTCATAGCTGATTGTTTCCTGAAATATTGAACGTTCGAAATTATGCAAGTATTTAATAGGTCTTTATAAACTAAAAGGTACATGAAAAACCATATGCAAGGCAGGCGCTTAAATTTTTGTTAAATAGCTTAATTTTTTATGTTTTTCATGGGTTCAAAACAGAGTTGATTATTTCTCGGTTAGAGCAGGATTTCTTTAATAAAGGAAATAATATTGCTTTTTGCAAATACACATCACAGAATCAACGCTACTATTTTGTTACGTTTTGTTCCAAAAATGTTGGATGTCTCTGGGGAGTTGCTTGTCATGTCTTATGAAGTTGTATGGTTAGATTGTGTTTCATTCTCAGTTTATTCTGAACTTAACAAGATTAAGAAAAAGCAAAAGAGTTTGAGTGTTCTTAACAAGATTTCAGAACTTTGCAGAAGTTAGAAGAGCTTCACAATTCCATTGTGTCAGCACATGATGCCCTAATTCAGAACTACGAACGATATCCATGACGATCCTTAATTCGCGATACAGTGGTCTCATGAAATAAGGAAACCTATTCGTCCAAGGAACACACGCGGATTTCGGACGAATAAATCTTGCTTGTATTTTGTAGATAATAATACTTTGTTTCATAATAAACGATTTGTCAAGTGTCATTCATTTAATGGTAACAGTGCATATTTCAATCGGGCAAATTTTGATTAATATTTGATACGCCGTTTTTTTGCATATTTCAGACACATCCAAAAATATGCTCCCGATTTTAAACATTAATATCTCCGTGAATTTTTAAGTGAAAGACAACTGTAATATACCAAAATCTAAGTTAGACCTTCCTTTATTTGATGCAAGTTATTTTTCTTTAAAAGCTTTACTTGTTTAGAAGTTATTACGAATCAAACCGGAGTACTTTTTTTTGGGACACCCGGTATATATTTGAAAATGTTCTCGATCGAGTTCTCCCTGAGTGACTATTTCATAATTTCCAGACCGCGCGCAAGCAGAAAGATGCCTGCCACGGCTGGGTTTTGAATCAGTTCAGCTTTCTGCTGGAAATTATATGAAAAAGTCACTCGAGATTGTCCAATTTATATTTGGATTTAAAAATTTGAAAACTATTATTTTTGTAAAAAACTGAGTGAGAAAATCAAATCTATAAAAAAAGAAAATTCCGGGAAAATGAATACTTTCTGAAAACTATACCATATGACTTTTGATTTTATAAGCAATTGGCTGGAAGTCGAATACAGTAATTTATCATGCATGCATGCAATGAAAGTACCTGAAAGAGTTATTGTAAATTATTTGCATGACATGAGGATCTCGCTGGTAAGTTTTTGGGAAATGGAATTAAAATGGCTGTTTAGGCTATAGCCTTTTGGATATTGCCGCCAGAATGTAAATGTTCACATTAAAAATAAAATGGGGTTTGAATTTTTTCACAAAAGTTACGCAAACTGCCGTTGCTACGGCAACAATAACGTTTCAAAATGGCGGATATTTTGGCTTTAATTGAAAGTAATTTAATTTTTATAACTTAAATATAAAATGATTTTTAGTATAATCAATTATTTTCACAATTGAGCCAAATGTGATTATTCATAATAATCTTTTTGGCTCAGCAAATTTTATTTCTTGAAACGTCATTATAGCGTATAGCAACGCGGGCTGTTGCGTAACTTTTGTGAAAGAATATAATTCAATATGAACACCGTTTCGTACTATAAGTTGTTTTGTTTTACATCAATAAGATACTTTTTGTTTTTCAATCTGTAATAATTGTCCAAAAATACGGATCTAAATCGTGAATTTTCCAGGGTTTTTTAAACTGTACCGAGCCACCTAAAGTCAGTGAATTGTTTTCAGAAACCGGCCCAAATCGGCTTTTCAGCAGCACACCTTAAGGTGTGTTACAGCAACAAACCAAGGCGTGCTAACAAACACATCAAGGTGTGCTGTAACACACCTTAAGGTGTGTTGTTTTCTGGACATAAAAGGTGCGGTGTTGCACACCTTTTTTTAAGAGTGTGACTATATACTCAGACATGACACTAAGCTGTCGACAAATATTAATTCTTCCTGAGCCGTATTCATCTGCTAGCTTCAGGTACTATTTTAGTGTGAGATTAACTTCATGTTGGTGGTACTGAAATAGCGCGCATATAGTATTAAATTGGATTGTCCTCTTATACCGAGGTCCGAGCCTTTCGATAGTTATTTTCCTTTCGATATAGTTATTTTCCTATGTGGGTAGGTCTAAATACTAGTAAAATAGATACTTACAACTGACAAGGCGAATACTTACTTTTATACTTATATACAAGGCGAATAATCCAATCACGGACCCAATCACCACAACACGGATCGGGTTTGACCATGAGCATTATTGTTGCGGAGGGTGCTTTTACCGTTTCGTATTAAGTTTAAAAAATTTCGGATCACTCCATGGATTAACTTTCAAGAACTAACAATTTTTTCTAATGCCTGGGCATGGCTAAAATGGACTTCATTCATGCGCACGGAACATATGAAAAAATTAATTTCCATTCGATGTTTTATATAGTGGGGGAACTTTGTTTCGTCTTCCTAAATACAGCAACAATTCCTGAAATGTTTAAGAAAGTTTATCAATATACATGTATATATAGTCATAGATAGCTCATTAGTTTCAAGATCTATAAGACTATATATATAGGACTAGGTAAATCATTTCGGTTAGAGAAATGATATCCTTCTCAAAATTTAAACGCGTACTGACTGTTATATATACGTGATCTTTTAGAACTTTATACAATAAGCTGCATATTTGTAGTGTATATATATAAGAATATATATGCATGTCTATATTGTGTATAAAATAAGTGTAACGTTGGTAATTGTATATAATCACTGCGGTTCTCCCGTTAATACCAGCAGCGTTGAAGATGGGATTTTTAACAGTTTAAACAAAGTCTTTATTATTATTGTTATTATGTGGTGGGAACAAAATGTTATATCCTTGTATCATTCGCCGCACTAAGCCGCTGGCATATTTACTATCTAACCTTGAACTTGCACATGTATTCAGTTCTTACAGAGCTTGTGGCTCTCATCAACGCCCTCGTTTGACCGTGGCTTTAGAACGAATTAGCGTGGTGATATGCAGTGTCTCCAAGCCCTAAAATATAAATTTAATTAAATATTAGCAGTTCTGGAAATGTCTAAGACTTTTAAGCCCATGAGGTCACACTACATAACGATAACGACACGATAACTTGTCTACTACTCTGAATTTATCGTTATCGTTAAAAAAAAAATAATTCGTATCGATAGAAATTGCACTTTGACAAATACGAGCTTTCGATAAGAATTCTGTTGGCAATGTACACAATTTTTTTGCCAATTATCGCGTGTTTACAATTTATCGTATCGTTGTGTAGTGTGACCTGGCCTTTACTCATAGCTACTTGAAACACTGTGAAACAGATAAAACAAAACATCAAGCTCTTCTTGAAATTACTACAATTCAACGAATACAAAAAAATACTACACTGTATAAGAACTATAGGAAACTCAAACAGAAAACTCAATCAGAAACTGAACGACTAGGTTAAAATGTTAGAATTCCCTTTAATTAAAAGGTTTTGGTTCTGCGGGTAAACGTGTTTTTTGTCTTTGATGCTGCATGAGATGACTCAGTTTTCATGAAGGGCAATCGGCCAGCAAATGAACGTCATATATGTCAGGTTATCGTAGAAAATTAGCAATTTTTTATATTAATCAATTAAACAATCGCATCCTATACCGTATTTCCCTCCCGGAGACATATTTTTCTAGTGCATGGTTATTGGTTATACTAATTATCACCTTCTTTAAACTTAAGATACTTAATTAAATACTTCAAACACTCATTAATAATTCATAAGCTTATTGGCAAATCATGTCAACCATAATATGTCACGTGCAGTGGCTTTAAACCTGGTAAAACACTCCTAATTAGTATTCGAATTCTTTATATAAAGAATACTAATAAGGCAGTATCTATTGTTGTCGTGTCCTCGTTAGTATATTTTATATAAAGAATACTAATAAGGCGGTATGTCTATTGAATTTATAGTCGTGTTTGAAGCCGTTTAATAAACTCGCAGGTCGTGTTTTATTAGGTCTAAAGCCACTCGCGCTGCGCGCTCGTGTCTTTAAACCTAATAAAACACTCCTGCTCGTTTATTAAACAGTACTAATTTATAACCTAAACTGTCTAAGCACTTACTGAGAATATCCTATAGTAGAAGTTAATTGACAGGGCTGTCGAAAGCAGGGGGGGGGGGGGGAGATAAGGCCCCACTAATTTCTTCACCATGACTAATCGAGGACTTTATGTCATTACAGGCAATTATACAATCACATTGATATTGTGTATATATCAATAGGAAAAACCTCAATTTATCCATGCTTGTGATTGCTTGAGAGGAAAAGTTGTTTCAAAACTGGGAGGATGAAGTTGTAAAGTGCATTACAAAATCTTGAATTTCAGAAAATACAGAAAATTCTCTTCCGAAGCTTCCGGGCACAATTTTTCTGGTGGAGCATGCTCCCAGATCCCTCTTGGTTGAGCCCCCCACCCCCCAATAACAATTTGCTTCCGACGAGAGCTGTATTCAGATTGCATGATAAACCCTCGACATTATAACCATTATAATTCTTTTACAGTGATTCGTATTCGTGAGATATCTTATGCAGTTTCCGTGAAATTCAATGGCATTTACAATGTGCGTCACATGCATGAGGAATCATAAATTTATCAGTCACCAGTTGGCCAATTAAATAATTTGAAAATACACATAATATGCTAGATTGCATCGCTTACGCATGAATTCGTCTTACTGACGAAATGTTTTTATGGTAAAATTTCCTGTCTTTCATTATGTATATGTTTGACGACAATTATTCAGATGGCTTCACGAAACAATAGAATTATCCACACAAGAATGGCCAAGAATTACGTAAATTATTGAAATTAGTTTCCGATGGACGCACGGGCAGTTTTTATTAACTTTAGCAGCGATTACGAGTACGAAATTCGTCAAGCGAAACTCACCCCTGATTCATAGATTAAGTATGTACAAATCGGTAACTTCAGTAAAAATGTTGTCCCACGGTCGCCATCTTCCTGGCAAGCAAGTGTCGCTCGCGTGATAATTCATTTGGTAATACGTCTTGCTTTCAAAAATGCTTTCAACACCATTTCGACAACTTTCATTGCTTTCAACAACTTTAAACATGCAACATTGATTGTTTAATTCAATAATTTTGATCCAAAAAGGCCGCAATAAAGTGCAAAAGTTCGTGTTTTTCAGGACGCCATTTTGCTAGCAAGTGTCATGGCGTGAGCATGATGTGACTAGGGAAATTTGGGTTATCTTTTCATGTCATGCAATCACGAAACCTAATCCAATCCCTAACCTCCTAACCACTTCTATTTTATAGTGACTGCGTGACATGAAAATGTAACCGAAATTTGAGGACACGAAGTTATACATCTGGGGCCGATTGTATAAAACTCTTAATCACTTTTTAAATCACTATTTTGTAGTTAAATAGTGATTAACTCTCAAATAGGCGCTTCTTATTGGATGACGTTTGCACTTAATTATAGTTAACTTTAATCACTTTTTTATACAACCGGCCCCTGGTATATTCTTAATTTGTGCCTGTATGCGTACACTACATCCCGTACTGACGCGAAAAAGTTGTAGCCGTCGCCCATCTGAGTAAGAAATTTTGGAGAAATCTCGTAGTCCTCACGACGACTTTTTAAAAGTACTTGGTATAGTTCTAGCGTTTATCCGGCGAAAGCGGAAGCACAAATTACACCGGAGACGTTGAGCTAAATATCTGGCTTTAATAATTGTTTTTAACCCCACTTATTCATGACTTATTTGCACCCCACTTATTCATGACTTATTTGCACTGAATTCATGTATTTTTCCTCATAGAAGGAGCTAATTTTATAGGGGATTTTAGCCCGCGTGAGATTTAGTGTATAGAAACTTTTTCTCTCGTTGTTTGTTTTAATACTGCTATAAAAGCAACATTTGAACGGAAACGAGAACGACTTCCTCTCACGCGATCAACTTTCGAACCCGTATAGTCGCTGCTAAAGCTCCTAATATCAACTGAAACGATGGGTCTTTTAATCTTAACAGCATATATGATCG